TTAGTGACTATTTTTTTTTGTCTTAGATTGTAACCTCTTCTTTAGGGAGCTTTATGCTTTATATCATAAAACACAGCTGGAAAGCCCAGGGAATCCAGAGCTTGTTCAGAGGGTGTGGGTGGTGGTGTGTCTTGCTTGTTTGTGGATGGGTGGGTTGTTTTCAGATGTTCCTAAGGAATCTGTTCTGGTGGAAGTTTGCAGATGTAATGAGGCACTTTGTGTTCCAAAATGTGCTGTGAAAATTTTTATGCTTTCTGCATGAAGTCTGTCCTGGAGTTGGGTATACTTGGATGGCTCTTTCCCTAAGTGTAGAGCAGACTTTTTTTGTAAATTGCTGACCTATAAATTTGAGATTTCTGAGTTCAGCATTTTTGCATTGTCCTTGCAAGGTGGAAGACAGTTCTCTGTGAAAGTGTGACATTGGGGCACCAGCAGTGGCCTACTTTAAACAAAAGTTAGAAAATACTTTAGATTTTGTAGCAATTCATGAGACATTGATGCTAAAAATAGCAGAAAATGCTTTTATGTGAGAATAGAATGTATTCAGGAATATGATAGAAAAAACTTGGGCATTTTGAATGACAGAAATAATGGAATCATAGAATGTTCAGGGGTTGGAAGAAACCTTAAAGATCATCTTATCCCAACCTCTTGCCACATGCAGGAACTTCTCCCCCTAGACCAGGTTGCTTAAGGCCTTATCCAGCCTATCCAAATATTTGCAAGTAATGGCACAGTTACTCCTAAAACTTTTTTTGGTACTGTTATATTTAATATAGTGTTTGTGCTGCAGAGTAAGGTTTGCTGAGTTTGGATTTGGAGACCCTGAGGAAAAATCTGGACACTTTATAGATGCTTAATGGATATTGTAGCCTCTCAGCTCTGCAGGGGACTGATAGAATGAACACAGGTGGAAACTGTTCTAATTCTTTTGTGTGTCTGTGTGGTTTTGGTTTGCTTGGGGTTTCTGGAGAGTGTTTTTTGGGGTTCTTTTGTGTCTCTGTCTCTGCTGAAAAGGTACCCACAGTGGTATAGGACAGAGAAAAGCACAAAATAACCTTTTGGTTAAAGGGTAAGATCCCACAGAAGTAAATAAAAATGAATTGTCCCTTATTCTGCTAAACTGTGGAGGTCTGGACCTGTGATCAGGGAATATGGGGTGGTCTCAGAAAGGAGAACAGGCAACCCAAGGGCTGGTCCAAACCAGTTAGAGCCATAGAAACCTGCTAAAGCCATATTTTGTTCAGTGAATTGAATTTTAAACCTGATGAAATTAGTGCTTAACCTTAAGTCGCCTGCTGTGGGGTTTTCCTTGTTAGCAGAGTTGCAAAGAAGAAACTGTATTTATTTATTTGCTGGATGTTTAGAAGTCAGCTGTAAGTCTGTAAGTTTGTTTTGCTATTTTAGAAGCTATTTCATACCCCATGGAGAGGTGTGCAGGAGCAATTTTTCCTGTGTGTTTTGTGCCATGGTGCAGGGGGCCTTCTTCCCTATGTAGTGTCCTGTATGAGATTTTTGGTGTCCTGGTGACATTTTCCTTTGTTACCATTTACCAATCAAAAGGCCAGTCCTATGCTGGAGTACACAGATGCAGAGATACACAAAGATACACTTGTAATCAGAGTTTCGCAACTGAGTTTATTTCTGTTATGTTACAAGATCTGCCCTGAAACAGGAGAAGGAAACTTTAGGAATTAAAAGGGGTCGTTATCCCACGCTGCTGGATCACTAACAAACTGTTCCTGGTGAACTGGTGAGGCATTTCTGTCAGGCAGGGCATGTCATGGTCACTTTATGAGCTGTCACAGCAAAAACAAATCCACCCTCTGCGTGCCAAAGTGAGTCAAGTGCACCTCTTCAGCCAGGATCCCTGCTATCACAGGCAAAACAGGGTGATGAAGGGATTGTTAGCAATCCTAATCTGCTATGTTGGGGTTGTAATAACAATAATAATAATAATAACAACAACAATAATAACAATAATAATAACATAATAATAATCAGGATCTTCTTTGCAAGCTTATGTTGTGTTCTTGAAAAAGATGGGATTCTTCTTGCTGGTTTTGACTGGCTTTCTCTAAAGTGGGGCAGGTTGGCTCTCTCCTGGTGTTCATGCTGATCTTTCACAGAAGCAGTTTGGGTTTCTGCCTCTGGTGTTTGTCCTGAAACTCCCTTTTCACGTCAGTTCTGCATCTTGCAGTCCTTTCTACCCATCTTTGAATGTGCAGGAGCAATCCAGTGAGACCTCAGCCTCACAAAACCAGGGCACGACGTCTCCAGAGCTCTGGGAGTGTTGCTCTACTATATTTGGAACCAGCTCTATTGCTTCTATAATAGGAGGGCTTCTGGAAGCTTTCTCCTTCCTCTCGCCCCGAGAAAGTAGCCTTTCAGCTGAGCTTTCATTAATTCACAATCTGCATGGCAAAACAGATGTAGTTTTATAGGCTAAATAATTCAGATGTGGCTCGTGGGTCACATGGCCTCGAGTGTGGTGTGTTCAGGGAGGATTTTTGCCCTTGCCCCAGGAGCTGAGGGTGCAGCAGCCACAGCTCCACTCACGGGGCCTTTGCTACCCCCAGTTTGTCATTCGGGGCACGCGACACTGACAAGAGGTGCCAAGGCAGCTTTCTAGAAAGCAAAGTGATGTGTGAGCCCCGTGTGTTTGTCACCAGAGCTGCAGCAGCACTGCCCAGTGAGGGATTTACTGGTTTTGTTTTCCTCTTGGATCAAGCAGAACAAATCTAATGAGCCAGTTCTTAACTTCTTCCCAGCTGAGCAGCGAGTGATGTCCTTACCCAAATTGAGTAAGGCAGTGGAAACCTTTCAGGAATAGTTAAACAAGGGAAACACTTGTAATATTATTTTTCCCAATACTCTTGCAGGGCTAAGAGGGTGCAGCAGAGCTTGTCTTTATTTTCTTTTTCCCTTCTGAGGTTTTTCCCTTTGAGGTGACAACTTAGTCCTTCCAATGCTTACCCCACCTAGAGAGAAAGCATGTGAGCCACAAATGTGGAGCTTTTCATTCTTTATTGACGTGATCATGGAAGAAAAACAGGTTCTCCTTGTAGTGCTTCATTGGAATAAACATTTCACATGCTTATCAGTACAGCAAGTAGTGCTGTTTGACAGCAGTGAGGAGTCAGATGTTGCCTTGGAGCCCTACATGCTCATTTCCCTGCTTCTGAAACACTGGATTTTGCCCACTGTGCATTCAGAAGTGTTCCTTTCCACTGAAAAGACCTAAAATCCACTTTGTAGCAGACACATTTTCCAGCATGATTTCAGGTGTGGATTGGAGATGGCTGAGTCTAGTCTGAGTGTCTGAGAACCTTGTCCTGCTGGGCCTTGTGAGTTCCTGCCAGGTCAGGGGTAAGTGGGTTCAGTTCTGACAACTTTGGGTTAATTCTGTCCTAGGTCCAGCTCCCTGAAATCAGACAGGGAGGCAGTGCTGATAAAGGGGGAGGTGTGAAAGACTAAACAGGCCCAGCTCCTGGAGCCTTTCCTCATAAGAGAAGTGCTCCAGACCCCTCATCATCAGCCTCTGCTGATGTTGCTTACATGGACATCTTTAGTTTTCATTTAAATTGCTGCTCTGTCCGGTGGGATCCAAGGATAGGAGCTTGGAGGAGCTTAGAGAGGGAAGGGCTGGAGTGAATTTGGTGGAGAAATGAACAAAGGGCAGTGGTAACCAGGTCCTGCTGCTTTGCCAGCACTGGCTCCTGATGCCAAACAGAAGTGCCATCATCAGGTTTTGGTGTGGGAGTAGACACAGGAAGCTCCCTCACATTAATTCCAGTTGGAGCCCCGTGGCAGTTTCATTGCCCTTAGATCAGATAATACCAGATCTGATTTGGCATAAACAGGGGAAGCTTGAGCACACAAAGTTTCACAAGGCAAATGATGCCTGTGATGGCTCCTTAAGGGTTAAAAGTCAGTTCTTTAGGTGTTTTAAATATGTAAATATTACCTGAAGAACAGTTAAAAAGAAATGGTTGTGTTGCTATAGGTGTCTAAGAGGCTGTGGACCTGGTGTGTCAATCACCTCTCTGTCAGACCTAGCCTGGGAGCTGCTGTGGATCGTTCCCAGTGGGAGTGTTGGGATGAGGAAACACTTTGTGCCAAAGTCTCTTGCTTAGAAGGATCTGGTGCTGTTATAGGTGTCCTGAGGGGTGTTTGGGGAGGGAGGAAGGGGTGACTTGGCTGGGGGATGACAGAACTGCATGTCTGGTGAATTACTCTTTTGGTGACAAGGAGCATATAACAACCTGAGCTTGAGCTCCATGGTGGGAGAATAAACATGGAACCTGCTTCTTGCAAGAAAACAAGTACCCTTATCTTGCTATAAAGCCTCAGCACTGACTTTTTCCAGCCTAATGACTGCTTTTGGTATTAACACTTTCTGCTCTGAAATGCTGCTGATCCTGAATACACTGATGCTCTTTGCCCAGCTGATCCAGAGTGACATCCTTATGGAGCATCCCAAAGCTTGCCCTGCATGGAGGTGGGGTGGTCAAATGTGTTTTTAAACATGTTTTTACCAACAGGGCAGTTGTTGCTCAGTTCCAGTCCAGAGGCCATGGCCTCCTTTCAAGAAAGTGAATTTTCTGAAAGGATGTGCCCACCCTTTGAACTGGTTTGTTGATCAGTTACTGTTGCTACAGCTAAAACACACTTGCACTTATCAAAATATCAAACGCTGTAGTGAATTGCTATGCAGATGGGGAGACCTTGACTGCAGCCTGGTTGAGTTGATACATTTGTTTTCCTAAGCTGCAGCAGTCTTCAAACCTGGTGATAAGACAGGGAATTTTGTGGGACCGTTCCCTGAGCTGCCGTCCGCGGCTGAGAGGATGTGATGCTTTCTGCTGCCAAAACCCAAGTCCTTCCCACATCTTGTGCAGAAAGGCATATGTTTGGGGGTGGTTTCAGAGAGGGGGAAGAACACGATTAGGGTTTTAACTTCCTCTTCTGTTTTGTTTCTCTGTGCATCTGTATTTCAGTTTTTCGGGCTGTACCCGACTATGTGCAAAACTTAACAAATCGGCTGCAGCTCCTGCTAAGGATCAGCCTTGGTACAGAAACAGTGGTAGTTAAAAGGCAGTAAGTATATCTGCTAGCTTAAATGCTGGGTTTTTTTTCTCTTCCTTTTTTTTATAATTCACAAGCACAGCTTTTTACTCCTCACACAGTAGGAATTTGTCAGGAGCTTGCTGGCATTAATAGTCTATTTCAGCCTTTTTCTATAGCCCAGCAGCTACAGAGGGGGGGAAAAAGCATGCTTTGTATGGAGCTGTGGTTGGGTCTGTGCTGCAGTGCCCATCTGAACTTGGCTGTGTCTATTTTGTCAGCTTTTGCTTCCCTCTAGTAGTTGCTGGTCCCTTCCTAAATTGACGAAATCTCATCACACAATGCCTGTGCTTGGATCAGGGTTCTGGCTGCTCCTGACCTGAACCACTTCTCTTGATGGTTTTGCTTCTTGAGCTCTTTACTGCAAACAAGATATCTTTGGGTTTCAATTCCGTCTGGCTTTTTTATCTTTTTCTTCTCAATTGCTGTCCAGAGGAGTGGGACTTGGACAAAACATGTGGTATTCTTAAGCAGGGATCCATGGAGAGGGTTTAAGTTATTGGAAAAGTGAGTGGCATTCTTGAAATGGTGTGGTTGTGTTTATTTGGGTGTGGATATAATCATGTTTCTGTGATACAGTTCCTGCTGAGTTTGAAATGCTAGTGTTAGTAAAACCAGAAGCAGAGCCAGACAAAAGACTGGAGAAAAGTCAGAATTTCAGTGACTCTTAGTGATGGTTCGTGGGAAAGTAACGATTTTGTGTTTGATTTTCCTAAAGCACTTGGGCACATGCTTTTTCTTCTCTGTGAATTACTGTTTGTGGATATATATCTTTACAGCATGAGAACATCAGAAACAGCTGGTTTTGTGCCTAGGTTTCACTCATAGAGAGGTAGGTCCTTGTTAGAGACTCTGGGTAGTCTGATGAAAATGGTGTTTAACTACAAAGCTTCAATTTCTGCTGTTGCTGATCATGGCAGCCTAATTCCTGGTCATCCTGAATCCCTGCAGCAGAGGATATGCTCTCCTCCTCCTCCTGCTCTGCCACTGCCCTGCTTTCGTCTTCTCCACCCCACACGTTTCTTAGCCTTGTGTAGAGCTCAGCAGAGATTTCTTCATGAAGACTGGAATGTGTTTATATAATATTTTATATATTATTTTAGGCTCCTGCTACTCAAATGTAGGCAAACGCTTAACCTCTTATTCGCCATCATTAGATGAACCGTGAAATTGCTGTAGCAGACATCAAGTCAGGTGGATCTAAACCAGCTTCTGCTTTTCCTGCCTGAAAGGTTCATCCTTTATCATTTTCCTGGCAAACCAAGAGCAGGTTTTCCAGCCAGGAGTGTTTAGTTGGGAGCATTGGTTGTGAACCACACTGGTCAAGCAGTGCTGAGCTGGGTGTAGTGGGGGCTCTTCTGTGTGGGAGGCATTGGGAAGGGGGTGATGTGAGAGGCTCAGTCTCTGCAAAAGCAGGGGTAGAGCAGCAGTAGGAACACTGGGCAGAGCTGCTGAAAAGGAGAGAACAACCTGCTGCACTAAATCACAGCTCCCTGGGGACACAGCTCCATAGTTAGCATCCTCAAATGGCATTCCTTTATTACGGCATCATTGTGCACGGCCCTCTAGAGAGGAAGCAAACGGTCTCTAAAACAATCTGCTGGCAGCTCAGGCTGGGCTATTTGAGGTTTTCCAGGGCTCTTTTGCTGTGTCACTCTTCCCTTTAATGTTCCAGCTTGAAGGTTGTTGTTCTTTCTCCATCAAAGTGCGTTAAAGTGCCGGTAAGGGTGTCTGCTCCAAGGACAAGGTGGAGAAGGCAGCAGCCAAGGGAGAACAAGAGATACTGCAGAACCAGCTTTGTTTTGGTGTAATCTTTCTTATCTGCATGTGATGCAAAGACAGGGCGGTTTTCACAAGACTTAAGAGGCTGCGTGGTGACATGTTTTCTGTCCTTTTATAAAATCCACCACGTTATTTTGATTAGAACACTAACGTAACTCCTGGCAGCCTCAAATCTCACTGCTAGCAGCTACTTCCCTCCAAAGCCTGATGTGGTGCTAACAAGCAGAGAGATCTTGTGCGTCCTGTTTACATGGAGCTGGGAAGACAGCGTGTTCCGTGGGAGGTGCCAAGGTAGCACTGCAGTTGGATGTAAGGTGAAAAAACTCTGTGTGTGCAGACAGGCCGTGGTGGGGCGTGTTCATTTGTGTTTGGTGGTGTTCAGGAACTCCAGCTGCAACACTGGCATGATGGTGTTAAGTTCTTTTATATCTGAATATGTATCTTTTATATCTATGCATGCGTAGCATGTTTGTGTTTGTATATATTTATATCTGTATCTATTCTCTCTCACGGGAAAGTCCACGTCCTGGATCATCTGTGCTTGTGATCTCCTGATGAATTCTCTGTTGTTCAGTTTTTAGGTGGCAGAGACGCGGTGAAGCTGAGTGTGGGGCAGGCAGAGCTGATGGGGGAGCCTGGGGTGTAGCCCAGGATGGACTGGCTGTGACGACGTGCCTTAGCCGGAGAGGTTGTTACCATGAAGAGTTCCTGCAGAGCTGGCCTCCACAGGGAACCGCTGAATTCCACATCCTCCACCTTCCACCAAGTCAAACGGTACGAACAGGCTGGCTGCTCTGCCTGCAGCTGAGGATTCAGCACCGATTTTAGCCTTCTCCTTGTCCTCTCCTATTGTCTTGTGCTGTCACTCAAACATTTGCTCTGAATTCTGACTCTGGGGCAGTGTTTAAGCGAAACGTTGTAATGGCTTCAGGGCAGAAATGTTCTTTGACGTTTTTATTTGATAATGACAACTACAGATTTGCTGCAGCTGGTAGTGTACTTGCAGAAATCCTTGGGTTTTCTAGCAACAGCTGTAAATTAGTTTGGGAAACATGACTTTGAAGTAAAACTTAATTGGCAAAAGGATCATCAGAGTAGGCTTTAAAACATGCAGGCAGCTTAAAGCAAGTGGAAATGCTGGCAGTCATTGTTGCGGTTTGTCTTACTATGGACTAAGTAATTAGATTAGTTTAAGCTCAGATTTTGTATTGCTCACTCTCCTGTGTCTCTTATTAAGGAGAAATGCACGATTGATTTCAAACACTTGTGCTTATGTGACAATTAAGTGAATGCCTCTCACTGTGTCTCCTTATAGGAACACCGTGCAGAACAACTTGTCCTCATGCAAATGCAAGGACATGCCAGTTTGATGGAGTTCAAACTACTTCAAAATATATGTGTATTTTTTTTTTTTTAATTCTTTTTTTTGAAACCAAGGCTCTTAAACTTCCTCAGTCTGGAGGAAGAGTGCCAGCTTTTTGGTTTCCAAAGGCTGTGTGGGTTTAAAGGAAACTTTTAACCTTTGTTCTTTGTGGTTGTGTAGACAGCATATACTTGCTATGTTAGTCTCATGGTAATTTAGTGCTGGAAAAGACTTCCTGGGTCACCCAGCTCCCTGCTTTCCCAAGCAGGATCTCACAGTCCCTTTTGTGAACTTAGTCCAGCCTCAAAACATTTACATCTTTTCTTGCATCTTTTCTTCTCTCCTCCTGTAGATTAAGCCATTACAGAAGATGACAGATCTTGCTGTGCAATTAGGAATCTTCTTTTCTTTCCTAGCTGAACATTCATGGCAGTTTATAGACTCATTTGAGTTTTTGTTCCTTTATTTTCCTTCTGCCTAAGGACCGCTGCTTATTTTCTGTGGTTTGCCTCTTCTTCTGCATTCTGTAAAAGGGGGTTGTGACCATCACCTGTGGTTTTGCTGAGTGACCCAAGTGTTCTCTAGTAGCTTCTTGAGTAGCAATTGCTGCTGTTCTCAGTCCTGTGCTGTGCTCTGGAGCTGCTCTAGCTTCTCACTGCTGTCACAGCATCACCTGCACTTCCCTATTTCATGGATGTCTCTATGGTGGCCAGTTCACCTCAGTTACTTCCAAAATTTCTTGGTGTTCCTCTTGCTGGTGCGTCACTGCCTGCATTTCAAAACCCTCCTCAGTTTGTGTTACTTGGAGCTTTGTGCCTCTGCTGTTATGGAACTGCCTCTATTTCTGTGGGTGCAGAATTAGTGCTGAGTTCATTCCTAACAAAATCAGATGTTCCCAGGGCTGATTCTTGAGGCATGTCTTTGGTTTCCAGGCTGGTATTTTCTTATTCAGCATCACCTGGGGCTGTCTGCTGCTAAGCCAACTCCTTTGTCTGTTTTCCCATTCCTCTGCCAATCTGTCTTAACCAGTAAATCTCTTTGTGCTCTCTGAAGTCCATGTGAGGAAGATATAGTAGATTGGTCTAAAAAGATGGCTTTTTTTGAGAACCTTGAGGTTAGTCTGGCATATTGAACTATTCCCTCTTCCCCCTTTTTCTCTGTGTCACATTAATCCTCTTTGCTTGCAAAGCACCTTTATACTGGAGTCAGAATACGAGCCCTGGAGAGGCTGCAATCATTCTTCTCCTCTTTCTCCCCTGCAGTGCCCCCTCCAATGTGCCACATGTTTATTATCTCCTATTGTTGCCTTTCAAGAGGTTTATAAATCCTGTTTCTTGGCCTGCAGTGCATGAGCCTATCTGGTTTGGATTCTAAAACTGGGATGAGCCAATCCTCACAATTTTTATGAAGCTCTCTAATCCTCCCCCTGCCGATGCTCTTGTTCAGATTAACGCCTGGGCTTTTGCCCTCACCATCACCCTTACCTCCCCTTTTTAAAAATGGTGCAAAGTCAAATTTGGTGTTTCGTGTTGTAGTCTTGATCTCTGCCCTGCCCTTGCTTGCAGCCCTGTTTCTCTTTTCTCTCACAAACTGAAAAAAACCTTTCACTATTTCTTTGTTAAATATCTCTGCAGTGACTTAACGCTGCACCAGTTCTCATGTTTATTCCTGGACTTTTTGATCTCTAAGATAGAAGTTTCCAAGTGATGTGACCTGAAACTTGTGTCTGCTTCTGGTATCCTTCACAAAGAAGGATCACATCCAGTAGGAGTTGCTTTGGATCTTGTTTGGGATGTGTCCTTAATAATGAAAACACCTTCTGACTCCTGGAGACTGCTGTGTGCAGTGAAATCCTCCCCAGCACAGCTGACTTCATGAACCAATTTCTTTCAGTCTTGAGTTTCAAAAGGGCAACCTGATAACTTGCCCTCAGCTCTACTTTTGCTTGTTTATTCTTTTGAATGCTGAGTCTGTTACTGAGTGTGTGGTCCAAGGTTAATTTCTGCAACCTTTCATGTGTTCTCATTAAGTATGCACAAAAATGAAGGCTATAAATAGCTTCACTCTGTGTTGGTTCATTAACACAAGAAATTTGTTGCACTGTGATATGAAGGAAGGTCTTGGTCCTCTTGTACTTTATAAATCAGGAAACAAATCAATAAAGGTAAAACATTTTTGGAAGGACACTTGTCACTTACCTGTGCTGCTCTGGGCAGCTTTCAGCTGAGCAGAAGCCCACCAGTCTTTGTCTTGTCATCCCTCTATGATTTCACCTCAACCACAACCACATGTGCCATCCCATCATCTCTGAGCTACATGTTTCTGGAGCAGCTGATAACCTTGAATTCCAAATCTTTCAGTTTCTTTTGTTCCCTTCTGCTTTGTCATCTCTGTGTCGTGTCTGGTATGGTTGGGAAGCAGAGCTTTGAGCTTCCTGAGGCTCAGCACAGAATTGCTGCTACATCTCTCCCTTCACGGTAAGTGCTTTTATACAAAAGCCTGCCAAAGCAGTGGCACTTCTTTCTGTACAAAATTTAGGAAGTAGCCAGGGCAACTGTGCTTTACTGAAGGGTGTGTGTGTGTTTAGTGTAAAACATGTTCAAAACATTGATGGGTGGGAGCCCTCAAAGTGGAGTGCTCTGTGTTGGGTTTGGGGCTGCATGCTGTCACCCCAAACCTCTGTGTGCTGCAGATGATGGGCTTTGTGGGATGGGTTTTCTGGCTGTGCTGTGTGCAGCTGTATTTGGGTGTTGTCTCCCCCAGAGTCAGGTTATTTGAGCACCTGACACAGGTGAGCAAGCTGGGGAGGGACCCAGCCTTAGGAGTTTGATTCTTACAGTGCATTTGGCTCCTTTGCTCTGCTGGGCCAGGTCTGCCCCACGGTTTTGGCGTTCTTCCACTTGCCCCAGGCTGGCCACTGGAGCAGAGAGCTCTCCTTCAGCAGCCACATGCCTTCTGTTTGCCTTCAAATCCCGCTCTAATCCTTGCTGGCTCTCCTTGTGCTGCAAGAGGCATTTTGGAGGTGTTGGGAAGTGGGTCAGGAGCAGTTGCTGCTCCAAGGGGAGTGGGTTTTCAGGAAATCAGATGCTTCCACAGCTGCCAGAGTTGAACCCACCCCTGCTCAGGAGCTTCCCAGGCCTCCTTTCTCTGAGCTTGGACCCTTGCCATGCTCCAGAACAAACTCCACGAGTAGCAGAGCTCCTTCCATCCCGGGACTTTCCCGCCCCGGCAGAATCCATGGAATGCCTTTGAAGCAGCTCTCTGTCTGCTCTGCTTTGCCCTGGCAGTGCAAAGGGGATGGAAATGGTACTGGAGATCGAGCCCAAAGGACCCACCAAGCCCTTCCAGAAATAACAAGTGGTTGACCGTGGTTAACTCCCACTCTGTGCTCAGTCCTTGCTAATTGTCAGTGTCCTTTATGGAGGAGGAAAACTCTATGGACAGAGAACTGGGATGCCAGGGAAGAGGAATGTTTTACCAGAGGTGTGGGGGTTTTATTGTTATTGATGTTTATTCCCTTCTCTATGTTTTTTTCTTTTTTGGCTTCTGCCTTGTGTTAGTATGTCCTGAGGGGTTTTTCAGAGTTGTAGTTGGCACTGGGTGTGCAATCAGCAACACGAGGAGCTTTTGTTGATTGGAGTTGGTGTTTACAAGGAGAAATCCATAGGAAACTTGGGGGTTTTGATGGAAATTTTCACCCTAATAAAACCTTCCAGTGCTTTCCTCAGAAAACTTGCAGTGTGAAAATGTTGTTTGTGAAGATTAGGCTTTTTTGTTGTTGTTCTTGCTGGCCAGAGGAAATGTTTTGGCTTCACTGGGCATCATCAGAGTCCCTGAGCTGGGAGCTGGAAGGGGAATTAAGGCTCTCTGTGGACCTTACAAAGGAGCTGTGAAAACTGAGTGTTTTATAAGAGTTTTTCCTCCAACTCTGGAGTTTCCACTAAAGCAAATATATTACTGTTTTAGGCTGCTGTGATTTAGAACATACATAAATACAAAAGGATGCTGGAAGGTTCTATCCAGCTTGGCAAGTAGAATCATGGAATGAGTTGGGTTGGAAAAGACCTTGAAGGCCATCTCATTCCAACCCATTGCTATGGGCAGGGACACCTCCCACTAGACCAGGTTGTTCCAAACCCCATCCAGCCTGGATTTGGACACTTTCAGGGATAGGGAGTCCACCAGTGGGTTATGGGTCTTCCCTTGGGTGAGGAGAAAAGGGCTGTGTGAGTGTCTGAGCACATATAAAGGAATATATTTCTGTATCAGCAATGTGTAGTAACCAACTTGATAAAACTGCTGTGGAAACAAGCTGTAGTTAGGACTTATAAAAACAGCAGTGTCATTCCAGCAGTGCAAGTATCCTGTTTTTCAGACATGGCTGATTAGAAATAGAAAAACTGGCCCCTTTATTTCATCAGCTTAAGGATGGAATAACAATATAAAGGCAGCACTGCTCGTTGTTTCAGTGCTGATCATTCCTGGCAGAATTCTCTTATCAGCAATTTAAAACCGCACATTTGGGATTGAAAACCTTTTATGTTTGCTCCCGTGGACTTCTGAAGAGTCGTTGTCTCTAAAGATAAAATTAGAGAGCTCGATAACTTTAAGGGTGGAGGAAAGCAAACAGAATTATTCTGGAATGAAGTGTCATAGGGAATATGTGATTTCACCTTTTAACAACTATTTTTGGTGGTTTTAAATATTTAAAAGCTTACCTGCAGCTGCCACAGCTCTCTGCTTGCCAGCACTGAGAAACAGGGGAGTCTGTGGGTGGGGACTGGGCTCTGGTTCATCTTCAAAGCAATTTCTGCTGGGAAGCCTTGTTCTAATTCTAGAAGTTAGAGATGAAATGTGCTGCTGACGTGCAGGGAAGGAGCTGTGATTGCCTAAAAGTTCATTCTCAATGTCCACAGCAAAGGATGTGTGAGGTGGGGGCCCGTTTTTTCCAAGTGACACTTTCAGGTAAGGCTCATTGCTAAGATGGCTTTTAAAATGAAAGTTCTCTTCCCTGCTGCTGGAAAACTCTGAGACAGGTGGCAGCTGGTCTTGTGGAGTTTGCAATGCTCTTTATAGCTGTCTGAAGTTATTAGATGAAGGTTTTCTTTAAATCTGGATCTATTAAAACATGTGCAATGAACTGAATGCTGAATTCAAATGAGGCAATTATTCTGGCAGTAAAACTTTTGACTAAGGCATAATTTTGTTATGTAAATTATAACTTTTCAACCTAAAATGGTATTGTTGGCTTAGCCAGGGACAAACTGAAACATAGGAAATATAACCTTAAACAAGAAATTTGTAATAGGTGAGGCAGAACTTTACCCTTTATCTTTCTCCGTAGACCAGAAATAGCTGGGAGCAGCTGAACCAACTCTGCTGGCTGAACATGTCCCCTGAGCCTGTTGGGGTAACCAGTTTGGTTCTGGTTTTATTCATGTAATACCTGCTCTCACCTCCATTTGCAGCTTCTCTTAATGAAGGGTGTTGAGCTGATTGTCCTGCTGGATTCCTGAAAACTGCTTGAAGAAAGCCTTTTAGAAACAAGCTCAGCTCATCTTTCAAACACCTTGGCATAAAAAGTCATGAATGAAATTTGATCTTCTGCTCCTGGCTCAGGAGATTTCAGCATGCAAAGTCGTGTTTTAATTGTATTCACCTCTTCTCCCCAGGGTACGGTGGCGAGCAGCCACCGGAGCTTTTCTCTCTCCAGTCTGGGAAATGTCCTTCTGGAAGGGAAGGGAGGGGAAGGCTGCAGGCACTGTTCTCTGCAGCAGTTTGCTGCAGTGCTTCACCTGCTGCTCTTCTGGGCTGGGCTTTGGCCAGGCCACATCAGTGGCCTGACCCTGCTTCACTGTGAAGTACAACCAGAATGAGGCAGCCCCTGTGAAAAATGAGGCCAAAGCAAGCTCCAGCAGGCTCGATTTCCCATTTTTCTCTCCATGCATCTATTTCAACGCCCCAAAGTTCTATTTTTATGAGATTATTTTAGTTTTTAGCATCCGACTGAGGAGGCAAACAAAGTAGCTCAGCTGCATTTTGCAGAGGAGACTAAACTGGGAGGTGACCCAATTCCAACGAGCTGGAATTGGCACACAGGAGGCACGGGGAGAGAATTAACCCAGGGGCTGGGTAGATATGTCTGCAGCACTGGGATCTTTTACTCCCACAGTCTCTAGGTGAGATGCAGGTGGTTTTGGTACTGTCTGATAGCAAGAACCAGGTGATGGTCTCCCTAAAAAATCCAGAGGGAAGGAACACAACATCTGCCTTTCCATCAGCTGCTTCCTGGCCTTGAAAGCCCTGCTGGGACCAGAGAGGTGCAGAAAGGTGAACTAAGCCCTTCCTCCTGATGTACCTCCCCAAAATCTCTGTGCCTGCCCTCCCTTCTTGTCACTAGGGCCAGAAGGAGGAACCAAACCTCCAGGGACAGCAGTGGTCAGGCAGCACAGCTGCTTCTAGTCCTGGAGGCTTCCTCTGCTTGGGCATCATCACTCATAAATTTGTTGGACTTCATAGACCAATGAATTGAGGTTTTTAATTAAAAGCTACTTTTAGGCTAGAAACCTACAAAGTTACTTAAACTTAAACAAAGTTACTTAAAGAACTCTCTTGGTGTTGGCTCTCAAGGGAAACACCTTCAGTGCCTGAAATGTGTCTGTGTCAGCTCATGATGACTGTGCCATTGAACCTGCTGCTCTTCAACTCTTGAGCACAGATCATCCCTGAACACCCTTTGAGTGCAATAACTCAAAGATTACCATGGAAACATAATCTAGAGTTAATTCTGTAATGTGCTTATGTGATACAGCTGGGAGAAGAGCTTGGAGTCTCCTGTGTGGCAGTGCCCCGGGCTCTGGCGTTCCTGAGCTTTGAATGGAAGGTGACTGTGGAGGTGTGACAGAACAGAGGAGTCTGGGGCTGCTGCTGCAGTGTCAGCAGCATCCATGGGGTCCTTCACAGCTCTGGAATTCCTGACTCTAAAATCCCATCCTTGAGAGTGGGTGTCCTCAGCTGGTGTCATGCTGCTGTCACTTTGGGGGTTGGCACCTGATGTATAACATAAGGGCTCTTATGGGAAAGTCACCAAATTTGCCATTATCAATATGCTAAAGGAAAGGTTTTGTTGCCCAGAGAAGCTGTGCCTGCTTCATCCCTGGATGAAGTGTCCGAGGATGGGTTGGTTGGGACTTGGAGCAACCTGAGATGTAGTGGAGGGTGTCCTGCTCATGGAAGGAAGCAGAACAAAATGACCTTTAAGGTCCCTTCCAACCCAAACCACTGTGTGATTTTGAGTGATACTAGGAGATTAGATATCTCCTGGGATCACTGATTAATATAATTACTCTTGCTAATTTCCCTTTTGAGCTTTAACCACATTTTATCTACCGAAAAGAGCGTGTGTGGTAGCTGATGTCCAGATAAACCTGTGACCCACGTGTGCCTTAGATCTGGATTAAGGAATGAACAGGCAGAAGGATGGCTCTAGCTCAAGAATGAACCACTAGCTATGTTTTCACAACTGATACAACTTAAACTGTAGGATTTCTCCTTGCAACTGCCTGGAAACAGATTTCTCCGACGGGAAGTTCTCTCCTACTGCAGGAAGTTCTTCAAGGGTGGATACTGCAGCCTTGGTGGCTCTTTTCCTTTCTCATGTGGTTCCTCTTGAGGTGTGGGCTGGTGCCTGCTCTGGGCCACCTTCTCTAATTCCAGACAGGCATATTTTGCAACTATAACTTCTTCCCTCTCTGTTTTTTCAGGGTTTCTGGTATGCACTTAAAGCCATATCTCAAGTTACAGAAGAAAGAGCGATCCCCAGAAATAAGCCAGGATTCCCTGCGAGGCCACCAGGGACCAACACAAGGAGAAAAATACACCAACTGCAGCAAACTGAACGTTTTCCCCAAACCCTCCCTCGTGACTCCATCTCAGAAGCTTCTGGGGATTATTTATCCGAATACTATGTGCAATATGAACGGCAAGGGCCCGGCGGACGGTCCAAGCGCAAGGGAAAAGAAGAACGCCCTGTCTGCGACGATCCACCAGGGAGAAGAAGGGGAAGGGCCGCTGGATGTCTGGGCTGTGGTGAAACCTGGCAACACCAAGGAGAAAATCGCCTTCTTCGCGGCGCAGCAGTGCAGCAGCAACACCCGCGCGGGCTCCATGAAAATCAAGAGCACGTGGGACATCGACGGGAGAACGGCCAAACGCAGGAAAAAATCAGTGGATCTTAAAAAAGCCAAAATCCAACTGGAAAGAATGAGGGAGGCGAACGCCAGGTGCTCCCAGCCGGAGCCTTTCGCCTGCGGCATCGAGCACTGCTCGGTGCACTTCGGGAGCGACAGCGGGGAGGGCGCGTTCCCGGGCCGCTCCCTGTCGGTGATCGAGATGGTGGCGTTCCTGGAGCAGCGGGCCAGCGCCCTGCTGGTGGACTGTGCCAAGACCTGCACGGCCGCCTCCGCCACCAGGCTGAGCGCCCAGCCCAAGGCCGCCCCGCCCGGCTCCGACCCCTTCTCCTCGGGCGGGGCGTGCGAGG